TGGCTGGGGAGAGGGAGGTCTGGGCCTCTTTGCTTAGGCTGCTGCCCCCGCGACCCGGCCTCGGATAAAGCGGATGAAGATGGATGGATGGAATAGAACAAACAAAACAGACTACTAAATTGTCAGGTCCACTTAGAAACAAAATATTAATTCTAAAAATAAATCTTAGTTTATTTTACAGAAGAAGATTATTTAATATAGCTTTGGAAGCGCTGTCTGAGGGAAATGTTTATGTCCAGGGAGTTGGTAACGAGGATTCATTACCTTAATTAGCTGCTTGAATCCTTCATTGTCGACTGTGTTTGTTGGTAGCATGTCTTTAGCAAGACAGTAAGCTATGGTATTCGTTATGTTGCTATTTCTCTTAGCTTTTTTGTCATATGGTAAGACGCCGGAGAAAGCCGACTCAATTGACTGCTTCGCAGGGATTCCCCTGGTTGTTTTCGATGATGAATTAGTGCTTTCAGTCAGAGATTGAGCGTGCTCTAGTGGGTGGCACTGCTTCAGGTGATAAAAAAGGCCGAAATACCTCCACACTATGGAACTTCTCTTGCCTTTCCTTTCGACAATCTCTCCGGCATCCGTCATCTGTGTTCTCTTCGGTCACGCTCTCGGTTGATTTTTCTCTAGTCAGCACACTCATTTCCTCCATTACCCGGCCGCTGGCTGCTTCCCAAACAAATACACATGTGCGGCTTGGCACTTGAGCTGTACGTAACAAGTTAGGTGATGTGACGCTGTGGCTGTGATTGGTTCAGCTCTGCGCTGCTTAATTTGAATTGGCTATTCATTTTTTTATAAGAGAGGAAGAGAGAGAGAGATGAGGTCTATCGCAATAGTTTCATTTTTCTATCGGGAAAAGTTATTTCGCAATACATATCGTTATCGTTTATCGCCCAGCTCTAGTTTAAGCTAGTATAAAATCTGTGTTAAGAGCCTCTGATGTAGATCTTCCCAGCAGCTATGCTTGTGTGTCTGTGTTGTGCTGCAATATGCAGCATAAACAGTAGAGGGTGGTTTGTGCTCTCTCTTGGAGTTCATCCATTCTCCTTGAGTC